TTTTCCAGCAGCGACCCTCAAAAATTCCTTTTTTGCCAAACGCAATAGCAAATGCTCTTATAAATAAGTGGTTAATTAGATTAGGTTAATTCAAGATATCAAAAAATTATATTAAATTTTTTGCTATTAACCGAGAACCGTCACGAACTTTGAATTCTAATTTTGCAAATGTATACCATTAAAGATGTTGAAAGAGGATATTTAATATTTCTTTATAGGTTCTTTTATGATCCAATATCAACCCTCATACTTTTAGTTTAGCCAAGCGAGGCCTTGTGACATTGAAATTCTTCAATTATTATTAAAATAAAAGTAGAAACTAATTATATATCTATGTTTATAACAACGAATGTTATGGATTTTTCTAATTTCTCTACGTCGCTCATTTCGTCTTCAGTCACACGGAAATTTTCAGGACCATTTCGATGTAAAATATATTTTCTGACAAATAGAACGTTTGTGTCAGAGAAACTATCTTTCTTCATACTTTACACATGGTCAGAAATGATTTACTATTAATCCTAACCAATATTACAAATTCAAATGTGAGTTTGTTTGTTTGTTACACTTTCACGTCCTAATTATTCAACCGATAATGATGAAATTTTGTAGACACATTGTAACGGGTATAAGAAAGGACATGGCGTACTTTTTATTCTTCTCGGGGTATAGAAAATAAGTTTAATGTGGCCGTCGATGCGGGTGAACAATAGACAATTAGAAATAGTTAAATTCATGAGTAAAAGCTAACAGTGTTAAATATTCTTGTGGTTTATTTATCTGTCTACATTAATTCTGGAAACGATTGCGTTACGTTACAGCCAACAATACATTAGAAGTGTACACATTTCTCACGCCTTCCTATGTTAGGTAAGGCACCCGAAATCGTAATTAATTACATTTGCACCTGAAGTACTTACAGATGCCTTTACGTTACGTCGCGACAGATCTTATCTAACAATTCGTATAACGAAATTGGAAACAAGAACAAGGTTGTATATACATATACGCACACGCATTAGAAGACATTAATACTTTTCGACATTAGATGCCGCACCCAATTCAGAGGTACTTAAATTGGTAAATCGTACATATTGGTAACTGAGTAATTATTCGTACATGTAGTCAAGAAGGCTTTAACTGATATTGTTATTTTCAAGTTCAATATTGTAAATCTTTATACCTGTAAGGCCTTTTGTCTGACCTTATTTGTTTATTATTGACATCGCAACCAATAGTGTATCCCATGATCGTCGAAGATATTTCAGGTGTAGTGTTAAGGTTAACTGGTCCTTCCCCTAACCCTGACTCAACCGACGATGAAAGTAGCCGACTATGATATAAAAGTGAACCCCTGAATCCAAACAGTATCAGTACTCACACTACACAGTACAGTACAGTAGTACCGATTGTATTATTTGTGTTCTATTTTTTAGACAAACGACCTACCAATTTCTTCAAAATGTTCCGACTGGTAAGCACACTAAGTTAACTAACAAAAAAAGAAAAAGGAAATCTTTATAGATACGTTAAAATGTAACTAAATTTAAGAAAAGTTTCGTCATAAGTACTAGGTATCATTCAAACTGTTTAGTCGCTTTCATTTAGATTCAAACTTTAGACAATGAAAGTTAAATAAAAACAGTAAAATCTAAATTTTCAGAAACTCAAACTGGAGAACTTATATATTAAGATGTATTTCTAGAGGCTGATTTCTTTTAGTAAATGAATATTATTTTCTTAAGAATAATTTGAAAAAAGATGTAACTGCGTACTTTGGATTAAAATTCGCTTTAACCTTTGGTGCATTCATTTCTGTTTGAAAAACGTAGAAATAGTGATCAGTAATTAATACGTTATGATCCTGGCGTTTGAAAAGTTTTTTTGTTACTTTAGTTTCTGGGTGAATACATCTACCCCACTGTTATTTTTGATCGTTTCTGTAGTTAAAAAAGTCTAGCTGTAACCTTTATAAATTCAATTTTTCGAAGCCTCTTTGGTAGCAATTTAACGAAATCACCAAACTTAGTTCTCAATTTCGACCTTTCGACTAATTAGTCGTCATCACCACACCAAGGTGTCTGGTCGCGATAGAGAAAACGCAAGACCAAAGAAATGCAAATAGTACATCTTGGTCTTACTGATAAGTCTTACTCCTTGTCTTGATTTTATTCATTTAGCTTTGGCCTGGATCTCGATCTTGGTCTTTCTCATTGTGGCAAGACACGGCAAGACAAGACAAAACTATAGGACCAAGACTATTTTTGCTTAAGAAATCATTGACCAAATTGAATTTGTTCTGTACAAGCAAGTTGATTAATGTCAAATTATTTGCATTATCATCTATCATGTATTATTTATTAGTGCCCTTGACAAGGGCTTTACGAAGGACTCTAGGCACGCAAGCTAAATTATTATTTATTTTTCTGTTATTAGATCTGCTTCTTGGCTACCATTGCTTTCGCTGCTGCAGCTCCGGGTCTTCTTGCAGCACCCGTGGCTACCAGCGTTGTATCGACCCATAGTGCTGTGATTCACCCAGCCCCAGTGGTACCCGTTGTCAAAGCTGCACCGGTTGTTGCAGTACATGCTGCCCCAGTAGTGCATGCAGCTCCAATTGTCCACGCAGCCCCAATTGTTCATGCCGCCCCTGTTGTTCCAGTAGTCAAAGCTGCGCACGTTGTCTTACACTAAGTATGAATAGTGGTCCGCATAAGACTATATTAAACTGTTATTTATGACTTTTATATTTTTTGTACTATGATCCAATAAACCAATATTATTATTATATATGACGTTTATATAAACAGTGAACAAAGGATATGTATAGGTAGATACTGTCTAGGGTAACTGTTTTTTCTTTAACGACCTTTGCTTTTGAAGTCCGATCTAAAATCAAAATAATTTTTGCAACCGTTTTTAATTCGGTTTTAAAGTACTACTTTTGATTTTCAAATTCATTGTATATGGTGGGAAAGTAATGTACATCAAAGAGTAATAATAGTAGTTATACTTCGTTTACTTTCTCTAGCGATGTGCCCCTTTCAATTTCAAGGATGCGCACTGGCAAAATCGTAGGTAGGGGGAAAAAACTCATTATACTCTCGACTGTCGTTCATTAAACATACTTTTTCATACAATACCTGGCAAAAGTTTTGTTCAATCATGAATAGTAATGCGAGTCGAAAACAAGCGTTAATGCCTTTAATATGTCTTCAAATATAAATAAACATCTCGTTGATATTTTCAGTAGTAAATGGTACCAATAACAGCACATTTGAGCAATGCAATTGCAGTGGATAAAATGGTCTATTTTTCCGTGCAGTACTATATCGATTATATGCTCCTCACCGGTTAAGAGTTTGTCCGAGAGTTGTCTCCTTCCTTTTCTGGCCTAGTGCTGTTCTTTTCTTTTTTGCGCCGGTCAAACTGAAGGTCACATCGCTACAGAAAGTAAACGAAGTATATATTTGACAATGAGCAAAGAATGTGTTTTCTAGTTCTAGACAACGACGAATTCACTTACAATAGTTAAATTGATTACTCATACATTGCTTTTCATCAGCTTTCCGAACATTTATTATAAAATCTTCTATTAAATAGGTAATAACTGTTTACCTGATACGTTTGACTGAAATTTATTGGAAATCAGCCTTAACGGAATGATGAAAAGTTATTTTTAGCTTGAAGTGGAAATAACTTTTCCTGGCTTCCGTATAGAATTGGAAGTATCGTAGGGATGAAAAGGAGGATTTATGGCATTTTCAATGTTACACCTTGAAGCAGCCCAGAAGGTTTCTTTAGCTTTCAGACTGATTTACGGCAGGTAATTGAGATCCAAAGGAGAAACGTTTGCACTGCAGTAATCAATTACTTCTTTTATTGGGAAAGGTGCATCAAGGTAAGACCTTGATTTCTCCTTATACCGAACTTTTTATTAACAGGAATACCTACATTTTGGCATGTAATACTTTTAGATAGTTCTATAATTAATTAGAAGTCCTGGAAAATATTTTGGAGATAGTAAAGAGGGTATAAGTAATAAATTAAACCAGTTTTGTTTATACAAATGAATTAACCTCAACTTCAAACTAATCGCAAACATAAATAATCATCATTATTAAAAAGTCTTCAATTGATCTACCTCCTTGTACGCTGCCTTTGTTTGGTAATACATCTTCTAACCCTTGTTGTGCATATAGATTCCCTAAATACTCTTTCCACCTATCCACTTCTTCCTCATTGTTAGCAAAATGATTCCTGACTACATAATATTGAATGAAAATATTGTTTTTGGAATAGTTATACCCTTATTCTTGGAATGAATTATTCAATTCGTCCAATTTACTTTACCGAACAACCCTAAGTAAATTGCACCGAAGCAAATTCCTAAAAACTTTGAGAAGTTCTTTGTGAGTTAGTTGAAGCTCGATGAAAAGAAGCTAAGAACATTTTACATTGCTAATTCAGTTGTTCTTTTCACTCGGAAATTTTTGTCCATTACTAAAGTTGCTGAAAAGCTTTTAGCAAGCCAAAACAAACTTGTGACGCGTAATGATGAATGCAAGAAAAGCGCTTTTAATAATTTCAATTAAACACAGACAAAATAACCAGCTTATATAAAAATTTAAAACAGTGCGAACAAAACCCTCAAATATCTGCCTGTTTTCTTAGCATTCCTTACTTCAAAATTAGGCACAGACATATACTAAGTCACTCATCGTAATACCGTCTTCACCTACTTTCTAAATAGAATCGAGACTTATTTTTGTCACAAAATAAGTAAATATAATTTCTCTAATCTCATAACTCTTTGTTTTAGAAGAAACGGACAATTAGTGTACACAGTTGTGAATAACTGTAGAAAAAGAAAGTCTCCATTTTCTACTTAGGTCCAGGATCTTGATAATCAGCTGTGATGTACCCATACTTTTTTAATCATCATACGCGAATGTGATGGTTCAAATATTCTGATGCATCCCATAAACGTTCAAACTTACCTGTCTAGTGAAACAGCAATTAAACTATAAACTGATGCAGCAACAGAAACACCCTGTATGTACGGAACAGTCTTGCACATCAACCATCCCAAAACCCATGCTGGAAGGAACAAGAAAGAATTGTTACTAATAAAAGTTCAACCTATATATATATATAAAATAAGACAACTTAATTTACATTTAGATACACAAATGCTGTTACAAAAAAGAAATATACATCTGGAGCCCGGCACTGTATGGGTGCGAAAAATGGACGCTGGACTCGACTAAAAAGAAAAGNGATTCCCGGCGGGGGTGTGACAACAGCAACAATTTTTCCCTCATTAATTTGAGGTAGCGTGTAGTGGGTATAAAATTCAAAAATGAATTTTCAGAATAATATTTCATATCTGACAACGTCTAAGTAATCAAATTAAAGTATCGATCGCTATGTTAGGTTAAGCCGTTGTAGTTCTTCTAAACACTAAAACTATGCGAAGTTAAAGGTTTTGGACCCCGATATACTTATATTAGCGATGCACCGGATGTTGATTTTAAGACATATGAATCAACACTTCTTCTATGCTCCGCCTAAACTGACGCAAGTTTTCTTTTTTTTTGGGATGGATAATATGCCACATTGTCTTCATTACAAGTAACTCCAGTATATGTCCAGTATGTTGTAGCCACCCTTTTTAAAGTTGGTTCCTTCAGACTAAGTCAATGACGTAATCATGCCATCTCAGTAATTTTAGTGTACCAACCTACGTGTGCCTCTGGTTGTTGAGTACTGAGAAATTAAGTTTCGAAAAGAGAATCATGTGAGAACACGTAATAGCAATGGGTTAGTTCATAGTACATATACCTACTAATGTCATTATGCGTATCATTTGTTTATCTTGCATGCACAAATGTATTCATTAACATAAAACAACAAACTGTCTGCATAAATAAAATCTGAGTACCTCCTGTACCGGTTTTTGCAGGCTGTTCCGCCTTATTATCCGTAAAAAGATACACATTGAGAATGTATGTACTTGGAGATCACATGATGAAATGAATAATAAGGTCAATATATTGTAGGTCATAGTCTTTGAATGTGGGTAGAGTTCGGGTTCTTCTGAACGGCTTTGCAGTTTTTATAAGATTCTGATGCGTTAATCATGGTTCATAAGGAATGGAACATAAGGCAACTGAAGATTCTAAATATCAAAATGGAATTATTTAGAACTTAGAAAAAGATTGTCTACTATTCTATTATATGAATGTCAAACGTGGACGGTGGGTCGACAAAGAAGTAGCTGGAAGCTTTTGGAATGTGGTGTAGTAAGGGATATAAAAAAAACTGTCAGTAAGTCTTGGAAAAACAGGAGAACACAGGGCATTATGGAAATCAATCAGAAAAGGAACCGATAGGACACTTTCTGAAGAGTTATTAGGGACATATAAAAATCAGAAGCAGGAGTAAGGATGGGTTGAGAATGACTTAGGTTCCTCTTCACAAATAGTTGAGGATGTTGGATGTCTTCAGTTTTCAATGTCCAGACTGGTAGGACATATGTAATATCCCATTATTCACTATGATCATTCGTTAACTACATAAAATTCACCAGCTATCCTGATGTTCATGTTTCTGGACCAACCTTTCTGGTAATATTTGCTGAAGAAAAGGTGCCTAAATCTGATTATATATAATTTACAGAAATTATAGACAATAATCCTAAGGCCTATTAAGTAATTATTTCGTTGTTATTCTGAAGACAAAGCTATGACCAGAATTTTGTTGAGCGTATTATCAGATATGCGTAAACTTCTCGAATGAATTTTCACAATAATTTGGCATAATTAGGCAACTCCTAATCCTTATCTTATCACCTTCTAAAAGGATATGAGGCATTCCTTTTCTCAAGAAATAAATAATTAATAAAAAAACATTTCTATTGTTCTTTTAGACTAGATTATTCCTTTGGGATTATATGCAAAGGAATCATGAAATCGACAATGACCAGAACCACTTTTATCATTTATTGATCATTGTCTATCGGATTTCCTATAAAAATAAACAGTGTCTTTTCTCATAACTGGAAAGCCTCCTTTCACGGTTTTAGGTTATTGGAGTATGGAATAAAATGGAAATTTTCAAATTACGAGCCCTGACTCAGTGAGATTAGCTCAGATGCTTACAATGCAGAATTTTTGGACTTATGTGATAATAAAAAAGACCTTCGAGGAAAATATGTTTAATATGAAATCTGTCTATACGTTGCTAAATTATTTTCTTATTTTTTTTGTAAGTACTTACCTACTACTCCACTTGCATTAAAATTAATTTTGATAGAAAGTTTCCTTTAAAAATTTCCAAAAAGAATATATTTTCGTTAATTGAAAGAACTTAACTGAGTCAGGTCTCTTCGTAATACCTTAATTTCCTTCCATATTTTTTGGCATTTTATATGCGTCTGCTTTTTCAATCTGGCAATTATAAAGTGGTGCGGCTTCGCAGCTGTTACATTTATTAATAATGTGATTACTGCTGGTGTCTTTAATTTTTCGAGGTCCAACGACTCGCCACATTTTATCAAGCGACCGTTTAATTAAAACAAAATGACAATATTCTGTGGTACAATCAGCATGTGGTGGGTATGACACATGCATACACGAAGCTCTCATTAAATACGTACAGTATTATACAATATATTTTCAATGTATGTAACCTGAAACAAATTATTACGCCACAATAAGTGATACAGTTGATACGATATTTTTACAGTTACCGTAATTTAGTAAACGTAATCATATACGACTATTTGAGAAATTGGAGAATGGATTACGTATATTATATATACCTACATTCACTGATACAGACATAATTATTCTTTATTAATTAACTGATTTAGACCATCATAATCATCATCATCATAAGGTCATCAGTCCTAAGACTGGTTGGACACGTACCTCTACTCTTTCCTATCCTGAGCTAATCTTCGCATTTTCCTAAAGCTACAACATCCCACATCCTTGACTATTTGCGAACAGTAATCTAATCTAGGTCTACCTCTACCCCTCCTAACTTCCGTTTCTGCCTCTAATATGTCTCTGACTAGACCTTCATGCTTGAGAAGGTGGCCTACTGACCTATCTCGCCTATTTTTTATTAACTTCCATAGACTCCTCTGTTCTCCTATTATTTCTGATACCTCTTCATTTCTAACCTTCTCCATCCACGGTATCCTCATCATTCGCCTGTAACACCACCTTTCGAACGCCTCTAATCTCTTCTTTTCCACCGCGCCCACCGTCCTTGTTTCGCATCCGTACAGCGCCGCTCTCCAAACACCATTAACAATCTTTTTTAAATTTCTAAATTCATCGTTCGCGGGCATAGGAGTAACTTCTTTTTTTTGAAGGCGACTAAACCTAACGCTATCATCTCCTTTATATCCCTACTACTCCGTCCGTCCTGACTTATCTGACTTCCTACATACCTAAAATGAGCCACTATCCTTCGTCCCCTATCTTTATATTTGCTCATTCCCTACATTTTCTTCCTTTGCATACCAGTATTTTTGTTTTACTTTTATTTATTTTCATACAATACTGTTTTATCAATGCCGCTTCCATGTTATTTAATGCTATTTTTAACTCCTCCTTGCTAGATGCTGATTTACATCATGGACATGGAAACAATGTAGGGGCGGGATACAAGGCTACTATTGACTACCCCTTCTTGGCACACGTAGTACGTCAACTACATACAAAGCCGGTTAAACTTTGACTTCTTAGGAGACACTACATTGTATACAACAGAGACAGATATAGAACCGATATCACTTTTATCTGTCTCTCCTCCTCCGTAACCAAGCCTTCTGATTATGGTTTTGAAGAAAGAGAGTCAGGCATCATTCGATCTGTGACACTATACCTGTCTCTTTTGGGTCAAGAGGAAAAGGGATGAAAGTAGATTTATATACCTCTCTCATTTGTTCTTGCAGGAGCACTAGGAGTGAAGTTTGCCCGGATCTAAACTACAGTGTAAGTCCCCGAGAGGATTCACTTTCCTCGCCTACAATCACACTTTGTGCTCCGACTCTGTATTAGGTTTATGGTTTATATGAAAACCAACTTTTACCTATAACTTCGTCCGTGTGGATTTTACATCAGTATCAACTTAGGATGATTCTAAATGGTAGGATGAAATTGGTACGTCTCATTTTGCGTCAACCAACTACAGCCAATATGATTTCCTTTTGTGTGGCTTTTTCTCTGCATTCTTATTCATTTCGATTTTGTTAAAGTATATGCAGAACAAAGAAACCTCTTTTTGAAAATAGCATTGAGAAATCCTTATACACGTAGGTATTTCATTGTCTGCCTAGAGTTTAAGGTAAATAGACACCGCAAATGCTATTTCCTATGTAAATATCTATATTCTCTCCGTTTCATATCTTCAGGAGCTGATTTTCTAAAAATGGTTTCTCAGTGTATTTCTGCATCCACGAAAGTAAACATATTCCAAAATTCATGTTTCTAAACCAACAACTGGCTGAGAACTGAGGTTTCTATTACATGCTATCGTCAAATGGCGGCATCACTTCTTGAAAACGTACCATGTGGTGACTTTATTCATCTTCTCATAAATAATAATGTAATAAGTCCAATATATCCAATTTAAAGTTATTGAGGAGTATTATACGTTATCCAAAAGTTTTTGAGGATTCAGTTCGTTTAGGATCCTTTTCAAAGAAGCAGGTGATATTTTCATATCGAAGTGGGTGGAAAAATACATTCTACACATTCATCAAATTATGGATTTTCGCTAGACATAAAAAGAAGAAATACTGACAAAGAAATGTGTAATTTGTGTGTTCAATAGACTTTTTGTCTTGCCTGTATATATATATATAGACAAATTTGCCTACGTCACACAAAGGAAAATAATTTTTAAATTTACTGAATTTCGACGCGTGTTGCCGATTGCGTTCGTTTTAGTACCAATTTTCCAGCAGCGACCCTCAAAAATTCCTTTTTTGCCAAACGCAATAGCAANGCAAACGGAACCGCGATAAAACGTAGTTTCTTTATATGCCGTAGTTTTTTTTATATTTATCCGGAAATTCCTTT